CTCACCCCCAACCCCAAATGTTAATAAAATGTCCAGAACGGAACGTTACAGCTCATGGAATAAAACCCCTCACCCCTCAAATCCTGCTTAGATGGCAGGCAGACATCATTGCTAGCCCGTGCCAGGCGCGATCAAATGTGACCAAGGCAACCTCAAAAACAATGATCTAGAGAAGGGGGGCCGATGGAAAATGTCCGGCTCCGCCGGCGGCCGCTTCATATGGATCATGCGACGCATGACCTGTCACTTAGGACCTCTGTTCAAGGGCTTGCTGCCTCACCAGTGGAAGGTGTCCTTGTAGACATTCTCCCACCACCACATTACGCCAATGTCGACCTTCAGCGTCAAGCCACCTTTGCCACGAGCTTCCTGAAATTCTCTGAAGCACTTTTGTGGGGCCGTTTCCTCGCGCTTCCAATAGCAGCCTTTGAAAAAGGCGACGGACTCCCAAGCATCCCGTTTCCATTTGGGATAACGCTTGTCTTTAATGGCCGGGAGGAGCTTGGCGCAGGCTTCCTCATTCGGATACTTCTGGGCTTCGCAATGCGCATGCACAGCACCGGACAGTTCGTGTACAGGAACATGGGTGGATAGCTTTGCACGCGCGACGACCACGTTTAGGGAGAGCGCAAGCGGCACCATCTTGCCAATGAATGGGTAGTACTGGGTTGAAACGAGAGTCATGCATTTCACGCCCAGCCATTCAGCGGCGTTCCCTAGTTGTCCGCCAAGGCACGCAATGAGGCTCAGGTGGAAATGGAAGCTTGCGAGGAACCCGGCTGCATCGTCACAATTGCCGTGACCGCCAACCTTGAAGCCCAGCGTCGCCCTGAACTGAACAAACTCATCAGGGTTGAGCGCCGTGCAGAAGTGGCAGTCTCCACTGAGGCATGCCGGCTGATTCATGAAGCCCCTGCCGAACATTGCCCTGATTAACGAGACATCCATTTTTTTCTTGTCAGAGCAAACTCCGGCCACACACATCTTGCAGGCGAACGGCTTCTTGCAAACCGTCAAAGCGATCTTCTGGTGTTCGGCAAGAGCAACTTGGGAGAGGTTGTCGGCAGGCTCGGGTAGCTGCAAGGACTGGGCCATCATGTGCTGGGCAGCCTTCTGCATGTCAATCCGTAGCGACTGCGAGGCATTGGCCAACAGGGCAGCCATCTGCCGTGCGACCTGGTTCACAGCAGCTCCATGCTTGGCCTGGCACACCAGGGATGGCTCGTTGCGGTCACACAAGCAAGCCACGTAGTCTTTTACGACTGGGCTGTTCAAAGGCGAGTCGTCTGGGATTTGCTGCAGCCGCTGGGCATGGCTCAGGCACATGGACTTCTTGCTCTCCCCATGTATAGCTTCATGGTGCTTCTCGTCAAGCTTGCTGAGGTGAGCTCGCTGTTGCTCAGTCAGATCCGACCGGGCTGCCTCATGCAGCATCTTATGCACCGAGGTCTTCAGATGCACAGTGTGGCTGCCCAGGGCAACCTTCTCGGCCGCGGCCCGACGTGCATTGTCCTGGTGGCGCAGGTGCGCCACAAAGTGATGCGCCAAGCCGTTTGCTTCATCGTGTAAAGCCATGGCAGCCTTGGCATGGAACTCCAGATTGTGCGAGACTTGGTACAGTCTGGATGAGTAGGCTTCCATCAGGAAGGCGCTGCCAGCATGCAAATGATCAGCGGGCACCAGCTTGTCGACGAAGAAGGTCAAGTTCAGGGTGTCCTCGCCGCACTTGTTTTCCATGTAGCCCGCTGTGTCCTCGCCTTGGTTTGCCTGGAACTGGGTGAGGTGGCTCCCGGACGTCACTGCCTTTTGCAACGTCTCGGACTCAGAGTCTGCCACCTCAGTGGCCTCTGCTTCATCCCCACACTCGATCCCCAAGGTTTCAATCGAATCGTGGTAGTGCTGGAGAGTGACCTCGTCAATCTTCAGACCGCTGAAGATGTGATCAGTCTCGGCGTTGAAGTCCGCCTCCACAACCTCCTCACGGCACATGATGGAACAAGTAAAAAAAAACAGTCCTAGGCTTCTGAACCCTTGAGACTAGTCTGAAGCTTCCCGTAATGAACCCACTCCAGTCCTCAGCAGCCTGGCGAGCAGCCATCTCAGCAGCAAGAACTTGTTGTGGATCACTGGGTTCACCCGCGGTTTGCAGCTGGATGTAGGCTTCCTTATCTGCAACCATGCGCAAGTTGCGTGCCTTCTCCGCATCGCCTGCAGCTTCAGCCTCATCGGCTCGCTGCCGGATAGCCGCCAGAAGCTTTGCCGTAAATTGCGCCTGTTGCAAGACTGCTGGGTCGATTGCAGGTTCTGCTTCAAGGTCGGTTGCAGCTTCTGCTGCAGGTTCGGTTGCATTTTCTGCTGCAGCTTCCGCCGCAGGATCTGCTGCGGCATGCTGACATTGTGCCAGGCAAGTCTGGTCCAATGTAGCTTCGTTGTGTGAGGCGCCCATTGGATGGTCCTGCTGCGGGCACTGGACATTCCAAGGAATGTCACAGTCCCACAAGGACACCAGCTTCGTGCACCAGTCGTCAGTGACAGGAAGGCTACAGCCGTTCACCACGTCGTCAATGGGCATCGTGTAGAACTTGTTGCCGTGGGCTCCCAGCAAGATCGACAGGATGACGAAGGAGAGCGCCATGATTGCTTCGTTAAAATTAAAACGAGGATGAAAGGACGGCTCACCCTTTGAGCATTAGCTTCGCTGCAACAACACCATCTCACTCAAGGCTCTCATGTGGACCATGGGCATGCGCACGTGATGAAATGTCAGGAAGGCACAGCATCAAAGCACGACGTCCATGGGCGGAACTCCAAAAGACTTGCCCTGCTGCGTCTCTTGTGGATGCGAAGGGTCGACTACAAGATGCCGATGCCCATTTAGGTTGCAGGATGTTAGTTACAGGCTCCGCTGTCGGCCGCTGCCCGTTCCAAGCACTTCTCAACCCCAAGGTGCAGTCCTGTCGTCGACGCATCCAGCCATCATCTGCGACAATCGGGGCGAGCCGTCCACCTGGAGGTATGCATAGATCATAGATCACAGAAGTGTCTATCCGGAGAATTGCCGCCCACGCACGTCGGCAATACCATGTAGTTTTTAAGTTGTTTGCTGTTGCTTTTTTTGGTTTATTAGTTTTTGAGCTTGATTGTTTATTTTGTTTAATCATTTTCTTTGTTGTTTATGGTGTGCTCTTTTTATCAATTTGGTTTTTCTTTTTGTTAATTCATTTGCGTTGATCTTTAGTGTTTTAGTATAATTCTTATGTCTTGACTTTGGATTTTAATTCTTCTTTGTATGGCATGCCTGCACTTCTGCTAGCGTGAGCTCTCAACCCTGATAGAACGTCGACCGGCTACTACAGCATAGTGGTGCACCAGGAAGGAACATTCAATGGCACATTGTGCCACTGCTTCCTGGTCTACCACAACTTAGCTGGGCTCAGCCGAGGTCTTTTGCTGCAATCTTCCTCTGAGCTCGGGCGGCTACAATCCAGGCAGGCACTCCATGCCTATCCACTAAGCAAACCATCCCAGCTCCCGCCAGGGAGCAATCGGGGAGAACAGCGCCACAGATCCAGCTTCAGAAAGACATCAATTCAACTTGTGCAGTAAGGACTGCCACGGCTCGTTGGCCGCTTCTGTACACTGGTGCGCGCCGGCCGTTTCTGTACACAAGAAGAACGACTACGGCGCGACTGGGGAGCTTCAAGCAATGCTAATAACTTGCTCACCCCCCTGCTGAGGACAGAGCCGCCATCACCACAACAGGCATGCTACGAAGCCAGTATGCCAGCTATGCCAGAGCATAGAAGAGAAGCGTATACAGTACAACAAAGACATGTAGTGAATAGTGTGGTGTAAAGTGAGAAAAAACACAAATACCGTGTACAGTTTGCCCTGTCAACAGCCAGATGACGGAGTGGCACAGGTGCACCACTCCCCGATTTGGGCTGGGCTCGTCCTAGCAGAGAGGGTGGTCCCAAGCACGCGGAACATGGAGTGTCATTGTGGCAACTCCGGTTCACAGAGTGGGGTCAGACGCAATCGGCCCCCTTGGGCTCCGAATCTTTGGACTCCGAGCTGACCTCATCCTCGTGGAGCTGGTGCCCCTCCGCAGGCATGTTGCTAAAGAGAGCCGTGCGCACATGGCTGTGCTGTCTAGACAAACATCTCTCTGCCATCTCCTCTGCCTCCTGCTCCGCCGTGTCCTCCTTCTCCACGAAAATGCCCGGGATGCGTGTGCAGCCCAGTCGCCGCAGCAGCAGCAGTACTCCGAACAGAGCAGCTAGGGTGGCATAGCCCATCATGTAGCCACCAGCTGACGTGCCGAAATTTTGGCCAGGGGCTCCGGCGAAGGTTTTGAAGGTCAGGTCAGCTGTCTCCTCATGCATTAGCCCCAGGCCTGAGATGCACATGGCCACCAGTGCCCAAATCGCGGCTTTCAGGAAGTTCCGGTCAATGAGGAAGACGCCCATGGCCACCCAGGCGATGCAAACAAGAAGGGAACCATGTGCCAAGGCCGCAAGTCCAGCCGGAGGCTTGGGCTCATGGGGCCAGATGGACAGGATCCAGTCCGCCGCAGCTGGGAAGAGACCAATGATTGCAGCTGGAAGATGCCGAGGTTTGATGATGTCAAAGGCGTCCTGGCAAATGGCCAGGCCGACAAAAAGGATGATGGGCGCAATACCCCAGGGCGGGATGAACGCATTGATGGCCGCGAAGAGGCCCGTGGCAGCGAGGACGCAGAACGCGATGCAGTTCAGGAAGGAGTAGTAGATCACGCCTCCTTGGGCCTTAAACTGCGGCTGTCCACAGTACACGCACGTCCCAAAGGGAGAGCCGAACAATCCTGCGACGATGGTTGTCAGGCCATCCACTACGAGGCATTCACGGATGGGGTACATGTCTCCCACCGAGTGCGCTGCATACACGCTCACCAGCGTATTCACGGCCCCGACAAAAGCCACAGGAAGGATCACGGCCATGTTCTCCAAGAGCACCTGGGGAATGGCTGAGAAGGATGCACCATCCAGGAAAGCCGGCATGTAGAAACCAAAGTTGTCGAAGGCTTCCAGAACTGCCTGGCCGGTTCCGCCGACTGGATGCGCAGAGCCCTCCGGCCAGCCCTCGCACGAAAGCCAGCCGGTCAGACAGCCCACCAGCATCACGATGATGGCGGAGGGAAGCGGTGACGTCTTTACATCGCCGAAGAAGAGAACCAGTGCCACGCCCAGCGGAAGGAGTCCCAAGTGGCCTGCTTTGAAGACCTCGATGATCTGCGCCAAGCCAAGCCAAGTAAAGCCCAGGCCGGCAAGGGCCATCATCAGGGATGCCTGGGGAGCCACTCGAACGATCAGGGGCCCGGCGAAGCCACACAGCGTTGCGATGGCGCCGCTGACCAGGTTGGCGACGCAGCCGACTCGCCAGGCATGCATGATGCCCTCCTCCCAACCCAGCCCCTCATTGGCTGCCGTTTGCGCTGCCTTCGACACGATGCTAAACACGAAAGCAAAAGCTGCAGGTGTGTTAATGCCATACGGCAAAGTGCACACGTTGGTGTGCTTCTCTTTTCGCATCAGTCGGACCGCCATCCAGGCATAGTAGAAGTTGCCAAAGATCATCGTGATGCACATGCCGGGAACGACTCTGCCATAGAGTACCTGCGTGATGAAGTTGTCCATGGCAGGCGTGTCTGCGGTGTCCTTGTACGGTGCAGAAAGGACCTTCTGCATTGCTCCAATGAGGCCCACCATGGTCCCTGAGATCTGACATAGCAGGTTCAGTCCACAGTTGATCTCACCCAGCTTGAAGGGCAGGAGCCGGTACATGCTGGCCACTTCTTGCTACAGTTTCTAGCTCCCAAATCTTCAGCTCTGAGCCCAAGACACTTGCGACTCTGGCCGTCAGCATCTGCATAGTAGCAACCCCAAACACCGTCCCCGGAACCCTAGGGTTGAGCAGCCCTAAACCCTACAAGACCCTTTCGGGCATGGCCAATCCAGCAGGTTCAGCTCCACATCAGCCGCAGACCCCTCAAATAGAACCCTGAACCCTAAAGCCACGAAATACAACAGCGGACTGGCACCTCGTCAGCGTAGTCCCCGGGATAGCCTTCGCAGCCACCCTCCAGACCTACACAGGTTTGGTCCCAACTAAGCGGTAGATATCAGAGAAGGAGATTCGAAATGCAGACCGTGATTGGGCAGGTTTAGCAGGAACCCTTGATGCAGAAGGGGGGTCTTCTGATTGCAAACGTATGGAACTCGCCCTTAAACCCTACAAACCCTCAGCCCTAAGGTCCTAATCCCTAAACCCCAAAACCCCAATCCCTAAACCCTAAACCCTAAACCCTAAACCCTAAACCCTAAACCCAAAACCCAAAACCATAACCAAAAAGCCCGAAACCCCATGATGCAGGAGCTGCAGTCGCCTCTTGGCAGGGCCAAACCTGGGTTGCAGCCACCGTTTCGAGCTCATCCAGTGCTTGGGGCTTAGAGGGTTTTATAGGGTTTTTTGGGGTTTGTAGGTTTTTTTGGGTTTATGGGGGTTTATAGGGGTTTATAGGGTTTGTTGGGGTTCATAGGGCTTTAGGGTTTATAGGGCTCATAGGTTCTTTGGGGTTTACAGGAATCTTACCTGCAGGTAAACAGTTCTTGCCAGAGCCTGCCCTTGACAAGCAAGAAGTCAGTGCGCCGAGCAGCTGAGATGTACCAGATTACCGGAGAGGGCATTGCGTGGAGGTATAGGGTTTACAGGGTTTAGAGTGTTTATGGGGTTTGTAGGCTTTATGGCAAAGTTTATGGGGCTCATGGGGTTTATAGGGTTCATAGGGTTTATAGGGCTCAGGGTTTCAAAGGAGCGGGGGGGTCGGTTTCTCGAGGTTTTCTGTGGTGCGCGGATACTGCTTCTTTGCGGGGTCATGAGTGAGTCGAGGCAGACTGTTCTCATACTGCGCAAAAAGCCAATCCATCCTGCAACCACGTGCCAGTACACCAAGATTGGGGCTTCATTGAACCCCGCGACTAGGATTCAATGGTGCAATCTTCTTAGCCCCACCACGCAGGCTCCTCTCGCTATCACCGAGAAGAAAGTTCGGCTTACTTCAGTTTGATCCCAGCAACAGCATGCCCCTTGTACCCTTTCTGCTTTTTGTCAGCGCAGGCATGTAGAAAGTCTCAGGCATAAGCTACCACCCCCCCTGCTTGGCCTGTTAAAAGAACTGTTTCCAGTTGTTGGTTTGCCGGGCGCAACCATCCCGGGCGTGTTTTTGCCGCTGTGATTTGAAACCGCACGAGGAATTCAAAGGAATTGTTTGCCCTGATTCTGTACATGCCCTCTGGCGCCACAACACTCACTTCAAGCCTGAGGGGGTGGGGGGGGAAGGTTTTGAGATGACCGGAGGGTCAAAAGACGTGTTCTACACAGCTTCCATCATCGCTCCGCAGCTCCTCGCCATCCTCCACCTCCACCTTCACTTGGGCTGGGGTGGAGAGGAAGGATGCGGATTTCGCGAGCTGCATGACTTTCTCTGACAATGGCCGCGGGGTGGAAGTGAGCCTCATGGCCGCCTGGTTGGCTCGAAGCTCCAGGTCTAGATGGGAGTAGGACTGCGGCAAAAAGACCAAAGCGATCTCTTGAAAAATGGCCTTGATGGCGAGGAGGTACAACTCCAAATCCTCCTGCTTCAGGCTAAAGGCTTTTCTGGCCTCGCTGATGTTTACGTTCGGGATCACGAAGCCCTCCTCTGCAATCACGGGAATCATGCGCAGCATCGGCAGGCGCGCCCCCTGCAACAGCCAGGATTGCAAGTGCTCCGACTGGAAGCAGTTCAAGCTGCAAATGATGAAAGAGACCTTCGCGGAAGTGGGCAAGTCTTTCCCCACGGTAAGCACCGAGGGCACTTCCATTCCGCCCAGCAGCCGTGGCTTCAACAAGTCCTTACTGTTGGCTAGTAGGGAATGAGGGAATTTGGGCCCTACATATACCCCTAAATGGATGATTATATAGGGTACCATTCCCTACATATACCCTTTAAGGGTTGATTATATAGGGTACTTCATTCGCCCCCATTCCCTGCTAACCAACAGTAAGAGTCAGCCAGAACCATAGCCGCGGCCATGGACTCGGTGTTCCTCGATTGTTGGGAGGGGGTTTTGGCGAAGGCAGATGCGAACATCAAAACTGAAAAAGGAAGCCCTAAACCCTAAACCCTAAACCCTGAACCCTAAACCCCAAACCCCTACACCCCTAAACGACTAAATCCTAAACCCTAACCAAGATTCAGTGGGTCCGCTAGGATGGGGTAGTCGGTGGACAGCTCTTCGAAGGACCCGAGCTTCCAGGCGAAGGAGGTCCTGTACTTTTGAAGATGTGAGATGTGGTTTGGGTTTGTGGGTTTGTGGTTTGGGGTTGAGGGTCGTGGGAACCGAAAACCTATCATGGATGAGTTGGCCTACCGGTTGCAGGGCTTTTCGTGGGCCTTTTGGGCTCTGAGGGTGCTTTTCAGTCCTTGCTGGGCTTCCCGCGTCCGTGAAGGCCATGATCGTGTTCGAGATGCTCTCGGAGGTGATGAGATCAGGCAGCTCAATCCTGCCGACGCCACTTAGCCACCTAAAGGTCTCCTCCACGTTCGAAAGGCTGACGCCATACTTGGTGAGCTCTCGGATGTCTGGCACCATGTTGGCGTAGTTCAAAATGAAGGCTTCATCCGGAGCCACGAAGTTGGGCCAGGCGAGCAGGAAGGTCTTCACACCATTGCTGCGTGCCGTGTTCATTTCCCCTATGCACCACTTACGCGTGAGAATCGCGGGACTGCCCAGGATGAGGAAGGTCTCTGTATCCTCCGCCACATAAGCAAAGAGCCTGCGAAGGTTCGAGGCTTTCATTGAGGCCTGGGAAGGGCTCACTTAGTCGGGTTTAGCACCTCTGTGCAGCCCCTTCAGCCTCGTGAGGTCACTGAGGTCGTCACAGTCAATGAAAGTCTTGGTGCCTGGAAGGCACTGGTCCAACTTCATCTTAAGAAGTCGGGCCATGGAGCCGGAGGCCACCTCAAGGAATGCGGCGTAGGGAGATGGGGGAAGACTGTGTGGGGCCTTTAAGAAGGGGATGTAGGGTTCTGGCTCTCTGCTGTACTCAGATGGTCAGTTCGCAAAGATTCGCCCCCGATTGCAGAGGCGTTAGAGGTTCCCTCCCCACGCTTATAATAGTGTAAGCCCTGCAAGTGCACGGCACACGGAGACGAGACTAGGTGGGAGTACGACGTGCGCACTCGGAAACACATCGGTCGCGATTTGAAATGCGCACGGCTTCAATCTAGGGGCATTGGCATTTCGTGGTGTTGCAAATGGGCCAGAGAAAGGTTGCCAAATCATATTATTGAATATTTTGTCGTTTCTTAAGAGTAGCTTGTTTGCTCGTAGGAAGAGCAAAGGTCCTCTTGTTTCTCAAACATGAAAACAAGCCCTGTATCTGGTTGCGGCGCGAGAGGGGTGGGGTGGGGTAGCTCCCCCACCCCACTCCCGCCCCCATCCCCCGCCACCCGGTGTGCGAACACAACGGTCCGTCCTGCATTTCTTCTCATTCTGTCCTGCGCTGCCAACTATCTTCCTGTCCTTCTTTCTGTCTTTCATTTTGTATCTATGGCACCAGGCCGGGGCGGTCGACACCTTGCCCGTATCGATGGGAATCCGGAAGAAATGTGAGGGGGTGTAATCTACGCTTACAGGGAGACAATATCACCCGCCTTGTGATGGCAAAGAAAGAAGCGGAACTGCTTGCGGTACTTCTGTTGGAGGTACCTGGCCGACCCAACGCTGATGGACACAAGGATTGCAATGGCCATGACAACCAGGAACATGACCACCATCATCGAGGACGCGGCTGAAGAGAGTTCATTTGCACTGAGGCAACCGATGTTCAGGATGAGCAGCATGCCGACCGAAAGAGCACCATCCAGAAAGTTGCAAACCATGACGCGCCAAGGCTTGGCGAAAGCGACCAAGAAGAGGTTCAAGCAAAGGATCGAACTAAACAACATCAACTGGCCAGAGGTCACATTCACAATGAGGATCAATACCAACAAAGCATTCCTCATCAGGAAAAGGATTGAAAAGATCTCGGTACCAGGGCGAAAGCGCCTGATCAAGAAGGAGAAGGTCCGCAGAAACATGGCGTCCGACCGGGCCAGTCGCCTGGGAATTTCCGAGGTTACTATCCACGTGCATACGGCCACGAAGGCAGCTGGAACCAGGCAGGCGATGCCTCCGATGATGAACATCTGCAGGTGTTCTCCTTGGCCGTTGCAGTACACCATGCCGTAGTCCTTCAAGGTGGCAAGGCCGTTCGGATGCCAACTGCACTGGAAGGGTGCCAGAAGCATAGAGAAGAGCATGATGAAGAACATCAGGAAGATGGTTCCGCATGTCCTCAACAAATGCACCGCTTGGAAGGTCCTGGATCGGATGACTGCAAGGTAGCCAAGATGCACAATCACTGCAATCAACATGACCAGAGGGATGAGGAGAACTCGGAAGGAGAAGAGAGCAACAGGTCCCATATCGGTGACGCAGCCTATGGATAGCATGTCCAGGTCCAATGACAGCATCTCCAGAAGATGCAGGAGGCTCGTGAGTGGCTCTTGCCAGTCAATGGCAAAGTGCCCGATGACGGACAGCATCTGCAAGATGGTGACCAGCTGAATCAGGCTGGAGCTCACAACCACCAGTGCTCCTGTTTGACTGGCCTCGATCTCACCCATGAGCCCCACGTGCAGAAAGACGATGCCACAGATGATGCCCAAGGACGCCACCGCGAGTATAGCATACTCCCCACTGCCACAAGGCTCGCAGTGCCCTTCACCGGAGCTTCGGAGGCCACGCTGGCATTTGGTGCAAGCGAGTGTGGAAGGGTCCCGGCCCGGAGCGCAAGTGCCAGGAGGCCCTCCTGGGCAGTGCCCGTCCTTGCAGCGGTAGACGGAGCCAGGAGACTCCGAAAAGGAAAAGTAGCCAGGGATGAGCTCGATACGGTTTGTCTGGCAACTTGAGCCCTCAATGCAACTCTGGCACGCACCTTGCCACAAGAAGCTCCCAGCCTTGCACGTGCAAAAAGTCTCGGAGGTGGCACCCAAGACCTCGATGACCCTGCTCCCGATCTCCTGGCTAGTCGTCCACATATCCTCTTGCACTCCACAACGCTCGCACGAAGTCCTTCCGGGCTCATGCGCATATGTGCCCAAGCCGCACTGCTCACACTGGCTGGATCCTTCTGCAGAGGCCAAAGTGCCAGGCTCACAGAGCTCACACTCTGTGGTCCCGAATGTGCTCTGATAGGAGCCCCGTGCACACAAGGAGCACACCCGCGTGACCTGCATCTTGACAGAGGCACGCCCAGCAGGGCAGATCGCACAATCCACGGCGTCTTCCCTTGAGTTCACAAACCGGCTCTGCAGATCCACAATCCTTAGTTGTGGCAATAGGAACTCCGATCGCAACGAGATTCTAGCCGCTTGCTGTTTTTGAGAGTTCTCATCAAGACTCGAAAACGCGCCCCATCCAGAAACCCCAGAATCACGTCCATAAACCCTATAGGCCCTGGACCATAGATCCTAAGCCCTGAATACCAAAGGCCAACGGCAAGTCATGTTCTTCAGAGAGGACAAGACGCCCCCTTCCCTGTGAGCACACCGTCTTGTCCGGCACCCACGTGTCGGACCAGTAGTCCGGATTGGCCTCTGGGCTTCGGGGGTTTTGGGGCTCTAGCGTTTACAGGGCCTGTTTAGGGTTTCTACCCGTTTGGGGAGTAGCCTTGAGCCACTCACAGGCGCTATCCCAGGAAGACATGCCGGCGCCCACAGGCAGCAACAAGTCCGCCACCTCAGCGGTTTCAGTGTTTAGGTTCCGGTAAGGTTTAGGCCTTTGGGGTTCACATAGGGCGACTTCCACTCCTCTTGCAAGGTGCTCTCATCTTGCTGCCTTGGGACCTGAAATGGAGCTGATACATCTCTCAGAAAGCTACTGCTAGATGGCGAGAAGGGCTGGCAGCTACATCTGCAGGCACAGCATCTACAACAATGATGAACCAGCCCAGGTCATCTGAGGTGGATCTGCGAATTGCTACTGGATTCTCATAACATTGGAATTGGCCTGACCCAGAACCCCCAACTGTTCGCCTAAAAGGGGCTTGAATTTCGAGTAATGCTTGGACTGACCACATGTCTGCAAGACATCGTAGCCTGAGACAAGTGCGTTACTGTCCGAGAGGTGCAGGTTATCTGCCAAGCCGTAGACTCGGTCCGCCACGTCCTTCCCAGAACCCAATAGGCCTAAGGCCTAAGGATTCAGGGTTTTAGGGCTTCCTGAAGATTTGTTGGGGTTGATGGCTTTGTTGAAGGTGTGTTTCGGGTTCGGGGGTATATCGGGTTCCGAATCGAAACCTTGAACCCTAAACGCCCAAACCCATGTCCTGCAAGTCTGCTGACACGATCGTAAGCAGCTTCGATCTCGCCGACATGGTCCTGTGGATTCCAATATTGTAGGGGCTTCCCTCGCGGCTTTGGGTCTTGGGTTCACGGCCAAGGTTTATAGATGCAGGGCCCCACGGTCCTGTAGATGGCTTGCCTGTACTCTGAGGGGTTTTGTGGAGGAAGCTCAACAGTGGATGGTTCATAGATGGCGAAAGATGGATCTGGTAACCACCAATACAGTGCTGATTGCTGCTGCTGGTTAATCTGCAAGTAGTCGTTGTAGGATGCAGCCGTGGCCAGTGCCAACGGCATGCTGTGAAAGAAGGCCTGCTGCGATATATAGTTGAGCCCCCATCCATTGCCTCCCGTGATGACCGCCATACATCGTGCTGGATTGGAGCGGCAAGAAGGTGCAAGCCACCATTTGTCCTGGTAGCACTTGAGCTGCGGACGACCATTCACCTCCTCCACGCCCTCTGCATCTCCCGTGGCATGAAAGTATTGCGTGCCGGAGTTTGCGTACTCTACCCACAAGCTCTCGTCGCAACGCTTCAGCTTCTGAAGATCCACATCAGCCAAGGTCGCGCCATGGGACGCTGGGTCGAACCAAGAGGCATTATAGTTGCCGTAGTAGGACAGGTGCAAGCCCGTGGCCTCCAAGCTGCTCCTCTTTGCCTGGAGCTTTTGGGGGCTTTTGATTACCAGGGCTTTCCAAGGGTCATAAGAGTTGGTTTTACGGCGTTTGCAGAGTTTGGGGGGGACCTCATGTCCACGCCTTGCCCAGGACGAAGAGCCCATCATAGCCCAGGTAGCCGATCTCGCCCAGGCTCTTCGCGGCCCTAGGTCCCAGCTTTTGCAGAAGGTCCTGTATGGCGCTTTCATACCAGCGGTTGGGCCATATCTCCAAGGCAATGTGGGCTCTTGGTGGCCATGGGCAAAGGGTCGCATCCTCCACCTCCTGGTTCTCAGTGCAGCCGGCCAGGTGGTGTATACTCGCCCAGCCACCGGATGCAGACACTCGAACCGTGTGGTAGCCAAGCACCTCTCTGGTCAAGATCTCGAAGATATCGCTGGTGGCGATTGCCGACTCCCAGGCGCCTACGGATAATCCCACAGGCATCGACACGCCTTCCATGGTAATGTTCAGCCTCTGCTCTTCTGGGATGGCATTCGGGAGGCATTGCCGCCCCTGTGCTTTAAGCAGCAGTGACAGCAAGGCCAATGAACGCAACCAACTCGCCTGCGGAGGCTTTGTGACCCCCATCCCGAAGAGCTCACCCTCACTATTTCTGGGCATACTTCACACATGTTGATGTTGGCAGGTCTAAGAAAACCACAAAAGCATGTAGGTCTCACAACCGAGGTCTAGCGGCATGTAGGTGCGGGGCCAGACAAGGCCCAATCATCGCACGAAAAAAAGCCCAGAAGGGCGTGCAATGCAAGATGGCAGACTAGACTTTTGTGACTGTGACGGGATTCAGCAGTTTGCAGATGTCTGCATTGTCATTTCTGCTGCCCGACCTTGCTATTCAGAGCTGGAAGGCTGCGTTAGAAGCATGAGCACCATGGCACACAAAGGCTCTTGAAGAATGACGGCACATATGCAAGTGTTACTCTGGCCTTGGGTGAGTGGCCGTCATTGTGTCTCGGGCTGGTCACTGGAGCCCTTCGGTTGTGCGAAATGTCAGGGTCCTGTAGTTGTGCTGCCACAGGCTTCCATACTCTTAGCTTTGGCCTCGTCTTGTGCTTCCAGGTCTTCATCTGCTCAGGTTCAACACACCGCTAGGTTGCAGCGAACAGAAGTTGTGCCACTCTGACAGCGCAGCAGGATTTTACATGCAGCCAGGGATAGCTAAAGAAAGTGCGACCTCGCATCGGGGATCCGAATCCTCGATCATCCAACGCTGGAAATAGCATCAGAACTTCACGCGGCCGAGTAGCGCCGGATGCGATCGCTGCGCGTCGACACTTGGCTCCTGGTGGTCTTCAGAGACTTCAGATTCAGACGTCACCCACGCGGCCAGTAAACCGAAAATGAACGCAGAGACCTCCAAACGCTGAGTACGCCTGAACCTGAAATACTCAAAAACATTCTTCCCGAAAAACCTCAAATCTAAGTCCTCAGCCCGACAATAACTATCATCAGGTTCATCATCATGAGTAAAAATACATGTATACATATACATATACACATATATCACAATCAGCATAAACTTGTATATATATATATACATATATATATATATGCTCGTACCCCCCCCAAGATCCACCTTTCCCTGTCGCGAGGTGCGCCGTGGGCTGCTAGCGCAATACTGCAAAACATCACTCGCGTAAAGTACTCTGCCGCGGCTTCCAGCCTCAGCCTCCCTCAGCATTTCTGCAGTCTGGACAGGCGAAAGTGCTGTACTGTCCCTATTTTTTCGTCCCAGTACAGCACTTCTGCAGTATCGAGAGGCGAAAGTGCTGTACTGTCCCTATTTTTTGCTGCAGGCACCAATAAAGTGCCGTACTGTCCCTAAAAAACCTAAAAAACCAATCTTTTGGGA